AGGAGATAATGAACATTAAAAGCAAGATCGAATTAGTAGAAAAAGAGAAAAGGAAAAACAACATAATAATAACAGGCCTATTGCTCGAAAAAAGTGAATCAAAATTGCTAAAAGAAAAACTAACAAAAATCCTAGAGCAATATTTAGAAGTAAAGGTAAACATCAAAAATGCCTACCAAGTGACTTAAAAAATATGTTTAATACAAATGGAAGAAGAGCAGGCAAAACAGTAGTAATGTAAAACACGTATGAATTAAAAAACGTTAAAGAAATAAGAATATATATTAATGACGACCAAACACCAGAAGAAAACATAAAGAACAGACAGATTGGACTAAGGACAAAAGAAGAAAAACGAAAAGGAAAAACCGTAAAAATTGGGTATAACAAACTGACAATACCCAAAGATACCTGGAAGCGGAACAAAATTAACTACCAGACATCATAAAGATAGATAATACACAATGCGAGAGAAAAAGAAAAAAAAAACGGAAGGCCAAGTTTGGAATCCTGACTTGTAACCACTAGACCACGACCGGGATGCCTTACGCTAATGATAAACTGTTATTATACCGTGCATTATGTTTTTGCAAAAATTTGAACGGATTCGTGCACCACACTTTTAGGACTATACAAGGTGATTGCGGAATACATGCAAAAAAAAGGGGCATAGCTCGCAATGTGATTATGTCACTGCGTAAAATTCACGGTCCTAAGTAGTAGCAGTGTTTAGAAAAAATTATTTGAAATTAAATGTAAATTGTTATATGCGCCGCTGGTAATGTTTTGTGACCTACATAATTACTACAATGAATGGAACAGAGCGAGTCGGATTAAGAACCAAAAAAGTGACTTTATCAGGCACTTTTTTAATCGCAACGTGAAAAACACGAAAAGGGCCAGTCAGCATCGAGCGGTCGCAGAAATTGGTTTATTGTGCAGTTTTCCCATGCAGATTGTGTCGATATGGTAATTGGTGTGCGCGAACATTTGCATCAGTGGTACAGCATCTCCGAGATCATGGTACCTTCAACTTCAAACTCACGATCGTGGCCGTGATCGGACAGAAAGAAGAAGTTGGATTTTCACAGCTTGTAGTAATCCTACATTAAAAGAACAGGGCCACAGCCATACCATGTTGACAAAGTACAGGGTTTGGAGCCCACTGATTGTCCACGTTGTACAACTCAGTTTTTGTCCGATGAAACTCCACATGCACGTCAACAAGTACGATTTCAAGAGACGGTTTTCGATAAATGTGTATCGGTTGGATGAAACAGTTACTTTGTGGAAATCAACAGTGTCCAGAAATTATCCAAGAGCTTCAACAACAAGTGAAAGTGGCAGCCGCTACTCCGGTGTTTTTTTACCTATCAACAAACATCTTGCGACGCTCTGACGCCTGTATGGCTAGTCAAGGACAACATTTTCAACATTTCTTATAAAAAGGTAGTAGCATTCTAAGTTGCTCTTATTTTTGTTCCAATAAACAATGTAAAATCGTGGCAAGGACCAAACATCCGTCAGAATCAAAAGCTGATCATCATGAAGCATTACCAAAAAATTTTCGCGCTAACCTTTAACGATGAATGAATAAATTAATGAACGAATGATAAGCAGCAAAAAGTCGATTTTACTTTTAATTGAAACTGAAAGTGCTTACGTCGTTTTTATTCAAACTTTTTTCCCACTTTGTTTACAAGGTGGCTCAGTGCCTTCGCATTGATGGTGGTTCATGACGGTTTTGTCCCATTCGATTTTTAATTTGTTTTTTCTATATTTCGGCTCTACTAGGGTGGGGGATGCCGTGGTTAAAATTATTGCATATATTTCGCAGTCACCCTGTATTACTGTGTAACAGTTAAATCAAATAAAAATAGAATTTTTTGAAATGACGTCATCAGATTATTGGTGAGGATGATTAGCAAAATTTTGGTTAACATTTAACCATCTGCATGATAGTTCTAATATACATACAAAATTTGACAACGATCGGTCCACCAGTTTCGGAGATTACGTGTCTAATAAAAATGGGTACAGTCACCAGACAGACACACAGACAGACAGACAGACGAAAACAAACGACTACTTTCTTCGTACTTTAGGGGTCATGAAACGTCGAGAAAACGACGGAGTCGGTTTCTATGCTTCCTTAGCTTCTTGTAATAATGATCTATGCTCTGCTTCGAAATTAGAAATAACAAACTAAATTGTATAAAATGTCAGTTGTTGTAAATCCGGGGTAATTTAAGTAATTGTTGATAGGGTAAATTTTATTAAAATAATTTCGAAAAATTAACAGGAAGTGAATTTTGAGTTTAGGTTTTTCTACTACATTTTGTCCTTTTTTTGAACTTTTTCAATCTATTGTAGTTTGAAGTGACTCTTTATTTGTTTAATTTGTCTTTATTCAAAATTAAAAGGAAACAACAAATCGCGAAGATATGCCATTGAGAAAAAATATGGATTTTTTTCCATTTGATGACAAAATATCTCATTTTTATACAGACTAATCATAAAATTTTTGTCTTACGAGTTAAATATTTTAGCCACAAATTGTCAAGTTTATTATTGCGAATAAATCTAAATGACTTTAAAAAAATAAAACCTATTGGATCACAATAATAACAAGCGTTAATTTATTGCCATAACTGAAATGATTATGATTAGTGACCTAAATTAAATGGATTTATATTACATTAAAACATTACAAGAATCTTTATTAGTTCTGCAACAGTTCTGACTATAAATTCTTCTGTGTGACATATTCACTATTGAAACTGGAAGCAGAATACGACGTCCTATCTGAATTGTAATACCACGAGAGAATCCTTTTTTGACAAGATGTTGTAAAACTGTAAGAATTGTGACATCTGGTATGTTTCTGTTTCTATCTTCGTCTGATAGACTGTATGCAGCGAGAGGTATTAAACCTCTCCGGCTCCTCTTTGCAGGTTTCCATAATCCCATAAACACTTTGAAATATAGAATAAAGCGGACAAGAAGTAAATTTCTTGGTTTGAAAGTTTTTAAATTGAAACGAGAACTTTTTGAGTAATGTACATACACTAGAGTGATAAAAAAAATGAATAAATTTATTACGGTTGTATTTTAGATGGGAAGTAGTATTTTTTTAGCAGACCAATCTGATGTAGTGAGGAATCGAATAAAGTAAATAATATTGTCAATTTGAAAATGAGACAAGATGTAATCTTTGAATGAAATGTATTAAAATACAACATTTGTGACATTTCTGGATGACAATTTTTAATTGATTTTAATGATCTTTGTGAACTTTCATTTTCTTCTGCATAATTTATATATGTATTAGTCTAAGGCTCGAATTGCATGCAAAATGCATATTCCTTAAAATGCAAATTATTACTCGAGAAAAAAATATTTTCTCCTCATATAACTTCTTCTTTAAACAATGGGCTTGCAAAAAAATTCATATTTTGCATGTTTTTCAATTTTACTGCATATTTACCGATTAAGTGCATATTTATTATTATTATTATTATTATTATTATTATTAGTTACGTTGGCCAACAGGTATTACAACCCAATTACAGACCAACGGGAAAAACTTTGGCTTTCGATGAAAACAACTCTGTTAACAACAGCTAATATTACTGCAGTACCCATTGGGATACAGAGACACCGCGGATTTAGAAATACATATACTATATAACCAGATATCAAATTAAAGAAGCCTAAAGTAACTACCTAAAAATATCAAAATCATTCTGGTGAGTGTTGTACTGGGTGCACATTTCATAAATAGGTGAGTGTTTTGTGATATTTAAACGAGGAGTGGACAAGTAAAAACAGGGACAAGATCTCGATGCCAATCTGGGAACCAAAAAGTATAACCTATCAAGTAGATTAGGACAGTCAAATTGAAAATGAATAAGTTTTCGCAGAAAGGACATGGACGCATTTACTCGTCTACTATCTAGGCTTTGAAATTGAAAGCGTTCTAAAAGAAGGGTATGAGAGATACCTCGCTCAGGATATATGCCATCAACTCTAAATACTAAGTATTTAAGAAACCGACGTTGTATTTTCTCCAAGGATTCAATATGAATACGGGAAAATGGGGACCAAACCACACTAGCATACTCCAGCTTAGAGCGGACATACGCAAAGTAAAGAGTACGAAGGCAGCTAATGTGGTTAAAAATTTTACCACATCTCATAATAAAACCAAGCGATTTTAGTGCTCCTGAACAAATGTTACTTATATGGTCAGCGAAAGTAAGCCTCGAATCGAATGTAACACCCAGATCACGAAAGGTATCAACTCTAGTTAGTATACCGTTATTAAGGGTATAACCATACGATATTAAAGAGGTCTTGTTAGTAAACGACATGATGTAACACTTAGCATAATTTACAGGTAGTAGATTGGAATTACTCCAGTTGTGAAATGTGTGAAGATCATTTTGTAGTGACAAGCAGTCTTCGAATGAATTAACTTCTCTGAATATTTTTAGATCATCAGCATACATGAGAACATTTGATTTGATATCCCTAACAACGTCATTGATGTAGATAAAAAAAAAAGCGGCCCCAATATAGAACCCTGTGGGACTCCAGAAGAGACAACAGTTTTGGAGGATTCATAGCCATTATAATTTACAACTTGAACTCTGTTGGATAAATAGGAACTAATTAAGTCAAACAGGGCACTTGAGAAGCCGAAATTTCGCAGTTTTACAAGTAAAAGGCCATGATCTAATTTGTCAAATGCCTTAGAAAAATCTGTATAGGCCACATCCACCTGGCGTTTAGCATCAAGATTATCAGCTACAAACTGCGTGAATTCGCAGAGATTGGAGGTGGTAGACCGTCCATTAACAAATCCATGCTGAGACACAGTGATTAAACTCCGGGTATTAAATGAGATAAATTTATGTAGAATAGTCTCAAAAATTTTCGCAAAATTACAGATTAACGATATAGGCCGATAATTTTCAATCATAGTTCTATTTCCAGATTTAAAGATAGGTGAGATGATAGACAATTTCCACACATCTGGGAACACACCAGTTCGAAAAATTAGATTGAATATTATCATAAGAGGAAAAGCTAAAATGGATGCACAGTCGAACAGTAGAAAAGCTGGAATCCTATCATGACCAGATGTAAAGTTAGGTTTAATTTTCTTTAAAGCCCACAGTACATCAGATTCAGAAATATTAGGACAGATAATATTATTACTAAACGAATCCTCTGAATAAGCGTCAGCGATAGTTGTGGGACCCTTGTTTAGATTGAAGTTGCTGCAGAAATGTTCAGCAAATGCATTTACAATATCGTAAGGATTTGTTAAAAGACTGTTAGAGTATGACATCTGAGAGGGAATACCATTACAGTTCTTTAAATTGTTAACATGTGACCAAAATTTACCCGGATTAGATTTGATATTAGATTCCAAATTCAATATATAACTACTATATGCTGTTTTAACGTCCTTCTTAATTTCAGTTCTAATTATTTTAAACTCATCATGAGTTTCCGTGTTCCCAGTTTGTCTGAATTTACGTAATAACTTCCACTTGCGTTTCAGCTTACCAATAATAACTGGAGTAAACCAGGATGGAAAATTTGAGTTACGTCTATAACTAGATTTTGGTACATGCGAGTTGATTGCAGTATTTATCTTGTCATACAGATACGAGCACGCAGTATTGACATTGTGCATATTCTTAAGACTAGACCAGTCAGTATCATTTATAGATTTATATAAGCTCGGGAAATCAGCTTTCCGAAAGTTCCACTGTTTCGGCTGGGAATTATTGGTGTTAATATGTTTCAATTTATTATCACGTATGGTGGAAGTAATTAGGAGGGATGGGTGGTGGTTATCTTCTTTCAACATAGGGTCAGCAGATTTTTGTACAGTGCAATTGAAATTGGAGATTACGAGATCGAGACAACGACCATTAATATTGCCAATATTATTATACTGCTGATACTCGCCAAATTGTAGAAAATTTTGAAGAATAGAAGATTTTCTGCTACAGTTGCTAGCTCTAGAAGAAGTAAAATCATAATCCGAAATATTGAAATCTCCTATTATAATAACTCTTCGATTGTAAAGATCAGGCAAGTTCCCAAGTAAGTCGAATAACAATTCAAATTCATCAGTACATGCGCCCGGTTGAATATAAACCACAAAAATGTATAAAGATACCTGTCCCAACGAACATTTGACACCTAATAAGTCTGTAAACTGTAAGTCATTAAAGCCTTTTGATGACAAATCTAAACTATAGACTGCAACTGGTTGACGAGCTGCTAATAGAACTCCACCTCCTCGGGAAACATTCATTTTTTCAAAATTTCTATCAGCTCTAACTATGTGGAAATGACCTGGACAAATTTCAGAGTTTAGGACCGAAGTATTAAGCCATGTTTCCGACAGGCATACAATGTCATATTCACAACAAAACATAGAATTATAAAAATCAACTAATTTAGTGTTGATGCCTCGAACATTCTGATAATAAATGGAAATCTGAGAATAGGAGGAAGTGATATTGCCGTGCTGTTGAAGACAAGACAAACAATTAGGTAAAATATTAATTAGTTTAGTGTTACCTTCCCTCGTGAACTGACAATAGCAAGACAGAATAGAATGACTTTTGTGAGACTGATGATCAATAGGGAAATTGAAAGTTTTAGCAGATATCGATCTAGAAGCAGCAAAAGAAGTTAATTGCTACAAATCAGATATACCAAACAAGTCAGACTTTACTTTCTTGATTAAATTTTTATAAAACACGCAATGTCCATAATCCCAGCAAGCATGGGAAGTCTCCTCAGTGCTCAAGTTATCTTTTGATTTAATACATTTTACATAATTTAATAAATTTTATGCATATTTTTGTAATATTTTCAAACTGTACCTTTATGAAACAAATATCAACACATTTCGGTAGAATTTTTACCTGAAAAGAACAGTAATTAAGACATCCTAATCCGAACTGGAGACATTCCATTTATCGGTATATTGAATAGACCGCAAGAACGCTCACACTTTTCTTCGAGAAACCATCTTAAGGTCGTCTAAAAATTTGTCAAGTTTATACATTTGTTTAATTAAAAACTGCACACTAGACATGAATATAAAATTAGGAGCTCCCCTGGACCCAAGTTTGTTAATTCAAAATATGTGTATATTTTTTTAAAGCGATATGTCTCATATTTTTAAAAAACAACTCCTGTAACCGAGATGATGTTCCCCATATATTTAGGTAAGTAGGACAAAACCAGAGCAGACGCAAGCCTTGAGGTAATTAACCCACAGCCGATAATGTTATATACACTGAGGTCGTCATTTTTAATTCGTAAACAACAATGACTTTGTCAAAACACACTAATAAGTTATGTCAAGAAAGGCATGAAGATCCAATAGTTGTAAATTTCAATATTTTCAACTTAATTTAAGTGAAGCTTCGGACCATTATGTTAAAAAGGATCAAGTAAAACCACATAATTTATTGCTTGATCTATTGTTTACAAGCTAATGTTTTACGATGCCCACTTAAACACCTATCTGATATCAGTGTGGGCCGCATGTCTAATGTACATCTACATATAAAAATTATAATGACGCGTCGATAAATCATTGAACCTTGTCGTAGCTCAATTTCTTTCCCATAAATCCATGTTCGTCTGGTGTCCCAGTATCGGCAGTCGCATTAGTCAAGCTAGTAACAACGGTCTACGGTCCGCTCCTTGCGTAACTCCCGTTTTGGAGCGCAGCCACTTCAATGGCACCCGCTTCAGTAATGATGTTTGAATTCGCAAAATAATTTTCTTTCTAAAAATAAACATTTCAATGTATCACGTAACTCAGATGAGTAATAGCTTTTCATGTTATATTTACATTTTCCTTTTCATATACGTTGCTAAGAGAAGTCATCAATCATGGCAATATAGCTTAATGGTATCTTTGTGTGGAGAACCTGGCGTATGTTCTCATTCAATTTCGGTGCGCCGAAAGCATTTTTAGCTCGAGTGAGGTAAGGGACCTGCATTCTTAAGACAATGTAAAGTAACTCCGTGTTAGATCAGCGAGGAATCTCACGCACCACTCCACCTTCGTTTGCACAGTCATCAAAGCGAATTGTACATCGCTGCCGTCGTGAGCGGAATTGACAGCATTAAAAATAGATCGGGCAAAGAGAAATCGTATTTTTCGTCTTCTCGGATACAATTACCATCGAGTGCCGCTTCATAAATTCATGTCAGCATGTAGGCTGCGATAAGTGGCAGTTTACCGATCCAGCTACTGACCAGCGGGATGGTTTATTTTATATTCCTGACCTCCATAACCTTATGGAAATAATTTATGGGATCGGATTTTTCCGAAGTGAGTTTCTCCAATTTCTGAAAGCGATGTAATTATGGCTGTGATAGAGCGAAGTCTTCGTTTACAAATATAGAATATGAAATTTTCATTTTCGTGCTTTCGTTTGAATCTGTATTAAAAGCTTTCATCAGTATGCAGGGAGAATCTCGTTCTTATTCCGCTTCTACATGAAATTCAGCGTTTCACGAAGTGAGAACCGTGATTCGACTGGTCGCTTTTATTTTGTGATAAAAACAAATAAAAATAAAGCGCGAACGAACCTAGGTTCATTAGTATGCGGTGTTGAGTATATATACACCTAAGATGAGATTTTGCTAATGACTTAATTTGTTTAAATGTGGTGAACAAGAACGCCCTCAGGATTTTTGTTGGCGATTTATTTGCGGCTAAAGTATTTCTTGTTGAATTAGCATAAAGAAAAGGATTTACAGGTAAGTTATTAATCACATACGTTTACTATATTATAATCGCAACAATCGCAACCAACATGGTGAATAAAAATATGTTTCTAATTCCTTCTTCCCTTTAAAAAAAAAAAAATAGATACACAGTCGTAGTGTAAGTAAAAAACAGTGACCTACAGGGAGTCGAACCCCCAACCTTCGCGTTATTAGTACACCACTATAAACCACTGAGCTAATGAGCATTTGCTCAACGTTCCTCTTATATTTATTGTAAAATGTAATAAAATTTTGATTTTTTGGGAAAATCTGCATGTCAATGGCAAAGAAAATGTTGAAGTGACCTCATAACATTCAAAATTTGACAACAATCAGACCATTAGTTTAAAAAATTATTCGTCTAATAAAAATTGACACAGACGGTATACGAAAGGAATCGGGAGACCTATTGTTTCATATTCTAAGGTCGAGTCGGGTCGGGTCAGGTCGAATTAGATCAGATCTGTGCAGATCAGGTCAGGTCAGGTCAAGTCAGGTCAGGAAAGATAAGGTCAGGTCAGGTCACTTTCATTAGAGGTAACATATGTCTATGTCACTGAGCTCGTCAACAATAATAAATCACTTTGAGTGTCATCAAACACAACAACAAGAGAATAAAGCAGGAACAGGTAAGAAAGAACATAAGAAACCAGATATAGATGGCAAGGAACATATAAACAAATATAAAAAAAATGAGAGGAAAGAGATTCAAAAATGGGCTTGGCGAGGCAGTGGTAAACTGCAGAAATATACAAACGACACCGACTTAGATCCAACTAAGGTAAAGCCAACAGATTTTCAAAAAATGCTACAAGAGATTTGTGACAAGACGCTACCGAAAAAAAAACACACGACAGAACAAGGAAAAGGATATCGATATATTGGTGAAACGCCAAAGTACCAAAACTAAGACACAAATGTATACAAAATGAAAGAAAAATGATTAAGCTAGATGCTAGACAGAACGCCAGAGACGAAGATAAGAAACCAGAACGAAACAGATATAAGATATGTGCAAAAGAGTACCTCAGAAAAGCTATTAAAAAAGCGAATGCTATGGACTGGGATAAAATATGTGAAGAGATGGATCAAAATGTATGAGGAAATGGATACAAAATATTTTGTATAAAACTGAAAGTCTTGTCAAGAATTTAGCCGAAAGAACAACAAAGGCCGCACGAAGCGATCAAATTATTCCCAGTAATGGAAAATCCAGACTGGAAAACATCACTGACGGACTTGAAACAGATACAGATGAAAGATAGAACTAATGAGACAAAAGAAATTGAATTAAACGAAGCGCTAGAGAGAGTAAAAATAGAGAAGGGTACTGAAGTAGATTACATACCAACAGAGGTTGAACTTGTTGAACACTATGATTCAGAAACGAAAATTTAAAGTAGAGTAGAAAGAAAATTCTCTTGTATTGATAGAGATGATAAACCGTGGCAAAACTATATGAATAGAATACAAAAGACTGAGAGAAGAAACAGACAAAAATAGAGGATTGTATAAAAGACAGTAGGTATTTGTAATGGGCAGATCGAAAATAGTTGCTATGAAAACCATACAAGACAACTAAAAAGGTAGGGAAATAGCGATAGCAATTAGTGAGAGGGTATCACATATGAGCTTAAAAAAAGAAAATACCAAAATTACTGATGAAACTGCCAATGGGACAAAATGAACGCTTCACGATAGATATAAGCTATGGAGTACACAAGGCTCTATAGTGGGCCCACTATTATGGAACACATCATGACCAGATACTGAGGACTAACACACCAAGCGGGGTAATCCTGATGGGATAAGCAGATGGCCTTGCAATGCAAGCTTTAGGCAGAACAAGAGAAACTAGAAAAGAAAATGAACCAAACCCAAAATCCCAGGTGCTCATGAAGCTTTTTGATTCCAAAAAACGTCAAGTCAAGTCAGGTCAAATCAGATCAGTTCGGGTCGGACCAAATGATCTTAGGTCAGGTCAGATTATGATTAGGTAACATCCACCTTCTAGAGAGGTAGTAAATAGTTCGTCCTATACTGATATAACCTGTTCATCAGCAAACATAAAAACAGAAAGTTCGGAATTGGAAAGCCCTGAATCAGAAAACGCTCCAAACAAGAGAGAAAGGGGCGTTCTAAACAGGAAATCAACGACTGAGCTATTAGGTAAAGCAAAGACTAAGTGAAAGGATTAAGTTTAAAGACGGAATGAAAAACAAGCAACAGAATAACAGACAAATAATATCGAATTGTTGGCATACGGATACGGAAGATAAGAGAAGGCATTTCATAACATCTAACAAGCGAGGAAAAACAAGCAAACGAAACAAAATATGTGCACCTAAAAAAGAACTAAAAAATTTAATATGCAAACTCAAGAAGAAGAAGCATAGCTATAAAACAAGATATCCCACAGTTTGCACTACCAAAAGAAAAAGTGCATTAAGTAATCCCACTGCTATTTTCCAGAAGGAGCGACTGGTGGGAGAAATGTCTACGAGTAAGGCAAAA